TTGTGATAAGACTAAAATTCAATCAATCTCATTTCAAACCATTTTGCCATTTTGGCTTAAAACCTTTCTCAAAAGATTAGACTCTTAACAATCCTTGTAGTGAAGCAAACAACTATACTTCTATAATATGTAGCGAAGAGAGATATTTTTCACTTGAGTGTTGAGTGAGGCATTGTTGATTTTAAAACCCAAGCCATATCCTCCACTTTGAGATGATGCAAATTCTCCTTTCTAATGATTGTGGGTAGTAAGTATGTTTTCCACACGGACAATGACGATAATGTCTTATCTCATAAAACTAACCAACACACTTGTGTTTTAAAATTTTTAAAAGGTGAACTACGTGTACCCTGATCCCCTATTGCACGAAAGGTGGTACGTAGGCACTAAAGATTCGCAACCGCGGTGGGTGCAAAAATCATAAAAAATACTTCTTTTCTCACCTCCACCATCTATTTTTCATACAACATTTTATAGCCAAAATATACAGATTTTTCAAAGAGGTTCTTGCGGAGTATCGTAGAAGTCTAGGGTGCTAATACCTTTCGTTTGCATAACCAACCCCCTTACCTTGAATCTTTCCCCCTCTTTTTGGGTTACTTGCTCTTTTCCCATTCCTTCGGAAACAATAAAGCACGGTGGCAGTTTTTATTTTGATTTGTATGAGTCTAGTCAATCCAATGGCTTAGTCTTAAACATTTCTACCGCTACAATAAGTCAATTATATTAAACTATTTTCCTAAACATCTTGTAATGATGAATTGAAAACAAGGAATGCGCTAATTAAGTTAGGTGAGCCTCACCCAGTTACTTAACCCAACAATGCGGGACCTACATATCATGTTACAAAAACCCGATGTAAGTTGGTTCAGAGGTTTCTGGTGTTGAACTTGGTAGGGTGGACTATGGGTCGATCCCCCGCATCTTGCAATCATGTTAATTAAGGGGTTACTAAATTTATGTACCAGAACCCCATTCTTAATAGGACTATCACTAACCGGCTACTCTACTATGTGTGTGAAATAAGATAAAGGGATTAATGTGATTGTTCTCGAACAAAATGGGTGAAACAAAGAAAAAACAATTAGGTTGATCTATAATAGCATGATTGGAACTGGTATGCATAAGGAAGGGTTGTCTAGTGTTATTATTGTATCTTTGTTGTTGATATTGAGCTTACATCGTTCTAACAGAAACATTGTGCAACCACGTACGAATTGATTTGTGTCATGTAATTGCATTTAACTTGTGCTTAAAAGATTAACATATTGATTATTTGCTTGAGGACAAGCAAAGGTTCAAGTATAGGGGAGTTTGATAACGCGAAAATACATAGCATATTCGACCCGATTTTGCATAAATAATGTTACTGTTTTATCTCAATTATGTTGCATTATGTTGGCTTTTCAAGTGTGTTTCAGGTAATTATTTCATCCAATTCCTACATAAGAAAAAAAGAAGAAATGGAAAATAAACGGACTCAAAATCAGAAAAACAACAAAAATAGCAGAAGATTTCATATCAAAAGGTTGTGCCCCTCGGCACACTTTCCATGTCGCCTGACACAAGTTGAATTTTTGTGCCCCTCGACACACAAGCCATTCTGATCGGCACAAAGTAAAAATAAGTGTGCCCCACGGCACACATTGCATGCCACTCGGCATAGCCTATTAACTGTTTTGTTTGATGCACGAAGGTTTCTCCATGATTCCACAAATTCTCTAGTGCCAACGACCTGCATGATTTCCTTCTAGTCTTTCTCCATACACTGATTTTTTTGGAAGCAAGAAGTCACATTCCTATATTTTCTCAAAGAAGTTTTGTTATGGAAGAGATATAAAAAGAAGGACAATTATACAAAGAAGCTTTCGCTCTCTCGTGTCGGCTATCTCGTTTTGTTACATTATTTTGCACTTTCATTTTTCCTTTCACACCATTATTCAGTTTAATAGTTCAGAGATTTGTTTATAACTTAAGCACATAAAAGCTTCACCTAAACAACAATATTTTTCTACACCGGGAAACTATTGTAACAGTAGCTTTTCTTCGTAGCCTCTTGAACTTTGTTTTAGTTTAATATTTTGTTCTGCATTCAAGTTAGTTTTCCGCAAGCAAATCCTGCCGGCATATTGTGGAGAATTGCTACGAGTACTTAAAGAGTTGCATAATTTTGTTCTCATTATTTAATTCCAGGTTTCTTTTAGTTTAATTTTATTATTGTTCTTTATTTATTATTCATGTCTGAATCATTATGTGTTTGTTATTATTTTGTGTTCGTAACGAATAATATGTCCAGCTAATTTCCCTGATACTGGTATGTAAGGTCACGAACCAAAGGAGTTCAATAATAAAATGGCATAAACATTTTATAAAAATACTTTTCTAGTTTGATTTTCAAATTTCAATATAAAAACTATTTTGTTACGAGAGTAAGAGACAAACTAAGGCTAAAACCAATAATCACAAGAGTGTGAGTTTTTAACCGGATAGTGATCATCAAACATTGGTTTTAAATACAGCGAGAGCGTTTTACGATTAATTAGAATCTATTTGTTTTCAAAAAGTATTTTTAAATGTTGAATGAAACAGCGAGAGTGATCATTTAAGTTTAATTTTATAATCTGGATCAACAATCACGAGAGTGTGAGAAAAAAGTTTTTAAACTGATAGTTTCTATTGAACAGTGTTTTGAATACTCAAAGTTATGCTAATAAATTACGGAATTCCCGAAGTTACACTATTACGTACCGGTGTCCGTTATTAAATATTTCAATTAAGTCTAACCTTATTTTTTGTCTACCCTAAAACCTAAGATTTATTAGCCTTAGCTTTACACAGTAGCCTTAGATAGCAGTAATTTGATTACCAGTCCTTGTGAGTTTGATATCTTTTAAAACTATGTGATTAAATTGTGCACTTGTCGTTAATACACACGATAGACTCTTATAGTCCCGTGATCAATGTTACCAAATTGAATCGGCCTAGGTTTTTTTTACTATTTTCTTCTTTTCATACAATTTTCTTTATTAATTTTAATTTTTAAAATCTATGAACTCATGCAAGGATTTGCTGCAAATAATAGAAATGCTCAATCATCAACTTACAATCACAAGACATTAAAGGTATAGTGTATACACGATTTCTAAGCTTGTATTTGATCCACTTTACAAGCTTTTTGTTGATCCATTTACAAGCTTGTATTCGCGATTAGATGTCATCCAAAAGTTCTGCGCATACCATGTTAATAACTACTTCTCATTTATAAAAGATCGCATGCAAGATCTGAGGTACGATCTAACCATAATTCACTCTCACACTACTTCTTACTTATTAATTGACTTAGACATTGAGTGATAACTTTTCAAATCACCTCTCTCTCCATCACATTGGAATCTTGCTCCACCGCATCAAGACTTCATTACACACTTCTGGTTCCACACAGAACAATGGCGCCATCTGTAAGAATCGACATCTGATTCAAACAAAATCCATTATAAGATCTCTCTGATTCAAAAATCACAAACTACTACATCACGCTTACTTGAAGAATAAAATTAAGGTTGATTCAATTGCTGAAACAAAATAGACTTCACAACTTCAATATAATATTGGTCAAAAATATAGGTGTGCATGTTTCTCCTACAAGGGCATGGAGACTCAGAGGTATTAGTAGGTTTATAACACGATTTGATAGTAAGTGCTTGTCCATGATGACGAGAAGCCATGTATGATGGTGTTTTGAGGTGATTTAGGAGACCCACTCCGGTCAGATGAGAGGCTCTACTGATGTCCAGTGATGCTTGATAGCAATCATGTGATCATCAACAGTTGTGTATTAAGGTTATAGTGAGTGTTGTGCTCTTTAGGGAGTAGAGAGTATGAATTACATGGGGTACATTGTTTATCCTTGACATGATATGTATTTATAAAGGTCTTTAAGACCTAGGGTTTCCTCGGAAAGGGCCACCGCCCACTTAGTCAACATTGGAAAGTTGAATCCTTATTTTCAAGGAAGTCGTGGGTCAGTTAATGACCTTGACTTTCTCTCTGTCAGATAAACGTCTTATCTCACGTTTCCCACATAAGAGGCAAGGGAAGACTATGAGGCGAGATAATACCTCCTTCCAGGTGACCTTCTATCTCCACCTCTTCTAGGGCATCACCCAAGACAAGGTCTTTCACAAATATAACACTACATTATCCCTTAAGTATGAGGCCTTTTGGTAGAATGCGAAGTGTCTTTTCTCTCACGGATGATCAGAGTATCACGAGAACTGGTGCTTCTTTCACAAGGCCTTTAGTTTCCCAGGGAGATTCAATCGGGGAGACACTAAGTCTCTCAAGTGAAGCATTTGACCTACTTGGGTGGGACTTCCATTGAGCCCTCGAGAAAGACTTGTTATCAAGCCTCTCAGGTTGAATATTTGTTGTGCCTCTTATGTGTGACCCTTGAGTTTTGTCCTGACCGAGAAGACATTAAGTCCCTCAGATGAGAGTATAATGATCCTAGGGAATCTAAGTCCCTTAGGAAAAAGTATCCATAGCCTGATGGATGAGACTACCAGTCCCTCAGACGAGGAATTTGACCTATTTGGGCAAGACTTCCATTGAGCACTCAGGCAAGAGTTGTCATCAAGTCTCTCATGATGGATACCCGTCACGCCTCTTAGGCGCGACCCTTGAGTTTTATCCTTTCTGGGAAAACACTAAGTCCCTTAGGCAAGAGTATAATTACCTTGGGTAATCTAAGTCCCTCAAGTAGAATTGTGCATAGCCTAGCTTATGAGACTACCAATCCCTCGGGAGAGGCGTTTGACCTACTTGGGTGGGACTTTCATCGAGCCCTCAAGTAAGACATGTTATCAAATCTCTTAGGTTGGATATATGTCGCGCCTCTTAGGCGCATCTCATGAGTTTTGTCTCGCCCGTGGAGACACTAAGTCCCTCAAATGAGAGTATAATTACCCTATGGAGTCTAAGTCCCTTGGGAGTAATTGTGCATGGCCCGGCTGACAAGACTAAGTCCCTTGGGAGTAATTGTGCATGGCCCGGCTGACAAGACTACCAGTTCCTCAGAAGAGGCGTTATATGGCCTATATGTGTTGCCTTATAGAGTGATAATGGCCTTTGTTATGAAGTGCATCAAAGAAAAAGTAGCCATGAGGGGCAGCAAGGATCTTCGCTATGAATTCCAGCAAAGCAGATATAGCCTTGAGGGGTGGTAAGGATCTTTGCTATGAAGTATAGCAAAGGATATGTAGCACTAATAGGTGGCAAGGATATTCGATATGAAGTCTATCAAGTGAAATGTAGCTCTAAGAGGGCGGAAATAATCTTTTCTATAAAGTATAATATAGGAAATTTAGTCTTTAGGGGTGAAACAACTGACTGAACAATCAACTGATAATGAAATCAATAAAGTCGCCATCAAACATTTTTTCTCCCACAAGAGGGGAAAGGTAAACATCGAGTAAACCTGAGAAGGGTGAAATCAAGGTCGAACGACCAAGAGATACAGGTAAGGGAGTCTATTACGCGAGGGGAAGGTATTAGCACCCCACACGCTCATAGTACTCTACGGTATCCACTCTTGTTGTTCTAATCAAAGGGTGTGTCTAATCTATATCTAAACTGTACAGGGAATGCATGCAAAAGAAAAGAGAGAATAATGTAGGGAAAATAAAATTGTGCTTGTTCGGACCCTACCCCGATGCCTACGTATCCCTTTTAAGGAATCAGAGCAGCCATAGTTCGGCTTAAAAGTTTTTGTTGGTTTGTATTTTTAATGAACAGTATTAATTTCGCCCTCTGTCGCAGCTTGACCTTTGGAGAATCACGCGTCAGCATAAAAGTGAATTAATATGTTTTTTCTGAAAAGTTTGAAAGAAAATCCTGAAGGCACAAAAGAGTTTGCATTGGTTGGTAGCTTTTATCTTAAAGAAGGATTTGAAAGTTGTTAGATGTTTTAAGATTTGCCAAGAAAAAGAGTTTTAGTCTTAATGCGAGGATGCAAAAGAAGGAAAAAATCTAAGGGAAACTAACCTAGATCTATCGCTAATGTTATCATACAATGATTGATCCTAAAGTTGTGTTTTATAGGGAAATATCTACCCTATGTTGACATGCTTGGATAACAATCCTAATGTATATCTTAACACATCATCTATAGATGAATCAAGAAATCCTAAAGGAGCATAGCAAGGGTCTATCACCTAAAACTATGTCTATCTCGAATCATCATCTATATTTGAATCGAGAGCTCCTAAGGGAACATGCCGAGGGTATATCATCTCAAAACATGCACTCAAAGATGAAACCAAACAAACAAGCCAATAAGCTCAACAGAGTACACCTAGAGAGATCCTATCTAGGTTAGCATGCCAAAGAAAGTCTAATAAAACTATCATATAGGGAACATGCAATGAGAGCGAAGTCGTGATCTCAACTTCTAAATTGAGTGACTCATCGATCAATAAGAAATAAAGGAAAGCGATAAAATCCTATAGGGAGCATGCACTGAGAGCGAAGTCTTGATCTCAATTTCTAAATTGAGTGACTCATCGATCAACAACCAAGGAAACAAACACAAGCACAACACATATAGCAAATGAAGTGCGGAATTCCTGCTACAAGTCTTTTAAACAGCGACTTCGAGCGCACGCTCTTTATTTCCTACTTCTCATGATATCTAGAAAGCAATAAAGTGCGAAATGAGATAAACAAGAGAAAATACTAAATGGATATCAATCCGTAGCAAAGCGTATTAAAATATAAAAACTCGATAATCTTCACGAAAGCTGGCACCAATAACAAGATACTCAGGAGAATTTCAATATGAATCTCCTGCCATGGTGAAAAAAAATCACAAGCAGGAGTAATGAACCGCGATGAACCGCTTTCCAAAAAAAAAAACTTGCACAATCTCACAAAAAGTGTTAGCAAATAACAAGGCAATATGATTTAAACTCAAACACCCAATTTATAACTCAAAATGATACTAAAATGCAAGCACAAATATGTCCTCCATTATTTACAAAATTAAACTCAAAAGATTAAGGAAACTAATAGTAAGAAACCTAATTAATTTCTAAAAAATTCAAAACAATTCTAAGGGATTAACATTTTACCAATTGTTTTATCATTTTTATCATCAACCTTTATTCCTAATGTTATTATCTAGAAATTTGCAAAAAGAAGATTTAAAAAAAAGTCCAGACAAAATCTCAACAGAGGGGGGTATGTGGACTGGAATCCAACGGTATGGTGTATCAAAAATGAGCGCTAGGCCCAGAATGGAGTTCCAGGAAACGTTATTTTTGGGTCAAATATCATCAAACTTTAAAAAAGGTTATGATTGGTCCTAAGGTGGTGTGAACAGCATCCGGATCTAAGTATAACACCCTTTGGTCCAAGAACAACATAACTCAAATCACATCTTCTCTAACTCAGCCTATTATATTTTTTATTTTTAGAAAGAAAAAAATTTAAAAAAAAGAGAAAGAAACGGGGTTGTATGGTGTTGGATAGGGTTCAAGATTGTTTGTGACAATTGAAAGCTCTAACATGAACTCCTTCTTCTTCACAACCTCACAGCGGTGGAGATTCTCTTTCTTCTTCATCTCTCTGATCCAAATTTGCGGTGGCTCAACCCTTCGTCAACCGTCGAACACTACCGTGATTGCGTCACCATAAGATATTGTGACCACCACCTTTGCGGAGCGCTCATCTTGTCCTTTTCTCATCTCATGCGGCGCTCCCACTCTTCTACTTCCTCATCATTGATCGACCTCTTCCTCAATCGTTCACAGCACCGCTGCAGAACGAGCATATTTTTTTCTTTTCTCTTGTCCATTCACGATTTCAGTGCTCATGATTGTTTCGTATGATTCTCAACTTCGATCTTGTTTTTCCATAGAAAATGGAAAGAATGAAGAAATTGAAGAGAAAAAAAATTCAAGTCTTACCTACCGGAGTTCGTCCGGTGTGTCTACAATTGATGAAGATGATGCGAAAACCAGAGACTCTTACGTATTCAGGTACGAAATCCCTTAACTTTTTGCGCGACTTATTCTTCTACTTCTCGATCTTCTCACTCTTTTGCATTTTTGAGTTCTGTTATTGTTGCCACAAGTTCTGTTGCGCGATGAATGATATGAAAATGATGTTGTTGTGGTTCACGTTGAAGTTACAGTGAAAATCTGATGTTCTTATGGATGCGACTGCAATGTTGACATTGTTACATAGAGGCGTTTATTGTTGATGTAGAAAGATGAGGTCTGGAATGAAGATGATTGTGGAGTTGCGAGAGGCTTGAAAAGATGCGTGATATTTGATGATGAAAGTGTTGAATTCAGAGAGAGAGGAAGATTTGGTTATTGCAATGTAGAATCGGAGATGATGAATAAATATCAGTGAAGTAGTTTCAAGAGATAACAGAGAGAATTTCCAGTGTTTTTAGTGATGAAGGTGAAGATGGAGAGCGAATTCTGGGAGAGGCAAGAGGAGAGAATTTCAGAGGATTTTTCTGGTATTTTTTTATTCTCTGAATGAATGAAGGTGAGGGATCAAGAATTGAGAGAGAGGGAGAGAGTTTTCTTTTTTGAGATCCTTGCAGATTCTTGAACTATGTAGAAGCCATGAATCCAGGTAAGCTTCTCTTTTTATATTTTTCTTAGTCTTAGAGTTTGTTAGAGCCAGTTAGGAGAAGTTAGCTATAGTTATAAGGTCGTTATAAAATTCTGTTAGAGACTATTAGGAGGTTAGAGGATTAGTTTAATTTCTGACTTGTTGCAAGTTAGTTAGTTACTGATTTTGTGCTTTGCTGGTTTTTTCTGAAATGTGCAGGGCTGCTTGTCATTTTTGTATTAATTCAGGGAAATTGGTTTTGCAACTTGTTTATGGAGAGAAGTCAGTGAAGTCATGGAGAAAATATGAAAAGATCTTGAAAAGTGACAAATCTGGCGAATTCGGTTAGCAAGCTTGTTAGGAACTCAGTTAGGAAAGAAACCAGTACTTTTGTTATAAATAATTCCTGATTGAATTTTCTGTAATGAATATGTGAACTGAAGTGGCTTTAGTGCTTGTATTATATGTTGATACTTTCTACTTTTTTGGTTTACAAAATGCAGGGTTGGGTCTGACGCTGGTGCAGATAAATTCTCACAGTAGGCTTTCGTTGCCCAGCCTAGAAAACATATTAAAGGAATGTCGGGTAGACAGGGTATAGCATCTGCTGCTGCCTATATACTTGAAATCCTGGATAGTAAGCTTGTCACATTGGTGAATTCTGGACTGGACTTAAAATGAGCATGTTGAACTTATTTAGATTTTTATGTTTCGTGTTGTTTTAGTTTTATCAGGGATATCATTTGCATAATTGTTTTCTTTTTCGATCGCGAATTGGACTTGTCGTCTTACTGTAGGTTAAGGACTAACGCAAATTATGTGAATCATGCAGGTTTGGAAATGTTGTGACAAAGGTCTTTTTTGTTTCACATTGTCTTAAATCATGAAGAAAATTATGAAGTAGGTTGGAGAAAGTTATGAAGTGCAAAACAAGGTGATCATTTGAAGGAGGAACTTGAAGGAAGTTGTAAAATAAATTCAAAATCTTGGTCAAAAGTAGGTGTAAGAATTGATAACTCTTTATACTTTTCTTTATCCATGTAATGTACTTCCTCAGGATATCTTGACTCTTGTACTTTGTATGTTGACTTTTTTGTAATGAAACTTTTCCAAGTGAATTTAATAAAACAGTTTCCCTCCTTTGTATCTTTTGAATGTTGAATACCAAACCTTTTCAATTTGTACTTCATGTGAATTCTCTAACCTTTCTTCAATCTTGCTATACTTGAATGAACCACTAGATGAAGGCCTCAAAAAGATTTAAGAAGGACTTTGGTCTAAAGTCAATCTTCCATGGTTGATTTTGACCAAAGGTCAAAGTTTTGGCAAATCTTTCAAACTCGAGATGATTCAATAATAACACCATGTGAACTCCTGTTCAGTCTTTGCACGAAATCCACAACACAAATCTTGTAAACCGAGTAATGGTGAACCAAACCTCAATTAATGGTAGAAAGTCTAAACGAAATCCTAATGAGACAAACCAGCATGATGGTAATAGTCAGCCCATAAGACCGTAAAATCCACTCGAGCAATGAGCAATATCCATTAAATGATGAGATTCACTGATGAACCCAAACTTTATAAGGAAATCCTTTGACTACCACATGATTAGAGAAATAAACCCTAATTCCATGATCTTTGATTTTTTAAGCCTTGAGTTGGAACCAAACCCTTCCTTGAGGAAATTCCTCGACTCAGATGAAACTGGAAGCATAGCAAGACGTCCATGTGATAGAAACTCTAATTCCATAAGATACATAGGGAAATAAACCCTAATCTCTGGAATTGATGAAACTGGGTGGAGATTGGCCTTATAGATTCGTGAAGAAGATATTCTTAATAACCACAGACCATAACCCTAATTCCAGTGCTCAATGCTTGAAGAAAAAATTAGCCTTTATTGGATACGAACGCTTTGACCAGTGTAAAACCCTAACATCGCACAACCATTGAACTTTAAACCACAAAGCTATATTGAATGAAATGATGCCATGTTAGTGATCTAATGGAATATATGTAGATGAATGCAAAAGTATAAGCCAAATGAAAGAAATTAGGAGGGCAAATTTTGGGGTGCAACAGCTGCCCATATTTAATCGCCTTCAACCTGAAGGTGAGATTGGCGCCAGCCTTTCGAACATTCAAGGTGGAAGAAGATTAAATACTTAAAGAACCTGAAAATTTGCACTCCGAAACCAGTCAGGTATTATTATATTTTTTGGTTTTCTGTATTTTCAATTTTTTTGTTGCTTTTTTTGGATTGCAGTAGTTATCTGAGTAAATCTCTTGGATGTCGAGTCAAGGTTAGACATACACAAAATAGAGACCGACTGAAGAAGGCTCTTAGAAGGGACGCTAGTCGAAGGCAAACTTACTGGAGATACAACTATACATTGACTCTGAATTGAACACCGATCGAAGGCAGACTTTACCAACAAAAAGGAGTATCGGGCAAAGGTAAACCTAAGACAGAAAGACACCGGGCAAAGGTGAACTTACCGAAGAAAAGAGAACGTCGGGTAAAGACAGACCTTAGCCAACAAGAAGGGACACTGGGTGAAGGTGGACCTAAAATGGCAAGACACCGGACAAAGGTGAACTTACCGAAGAAAAGAGAACGTCGGGCGAAGACGAAACTTAACCAACAAAAAGGGACACTGGACGAAGGTGAACCTAAGGTGGAAAGACACCGGGAAAAGGTGACTTCCGGAGGGAAGACGAACCTTAACTAACAAAAAGGGACATCGGGCGAACTTGGATCTAGAATGGAAAGACACCGGGCGAAGGTGAATTCTGGAGGAAAGAGAACATCGGATGAAGACGAACCTTAATCAACAAAAAGGGATACTAGGCGAAGGTGGACCTAAGATGGAAAGAGACCGGGCGAAGGTGAATTCCAGAGTAAAGAGAACTTCGGGTGAAGACGAACCTTAACCAACAAAAAGGGACACTGGGCGAAGTTGGACCTAAGATGGAAAGACACCGGGCAAAGGTGAATTCCGGAGGAAAGAGAATGTCGGGCGAAGACGAACCTTAACCAACAAAAAGGGACACCGGGTGAAGGTGGACCTAAGATGGAAAGACACCGGGAAAAGGTGAACTTACCAAAGAAAAGAGAACATCGGGAAAAGACGAACCTTAACCAATGAAAAGGTACATCGGGCGAAGGTGAACCTCAGATGGAAAGACACCGGGTGAAGGTGAACTTACCAAAGGAAAGAGAACGTCGGGTGAAGTCAAACCTTAACCAACAAAAAGGGACACCGGGCAAAGGTGGACCTAAGATGGAAAGACATCGGGCGAAGGTGAATTCCGGAGGAAAGAGAACGTCAGCTAAAGATGAACCTTAACCAACAAAAAGGGACGTCGGCCGAAGGAGGACCTTAGATGGAAAGACACCGAGCAAAGGTGAATTCTGGAGGAAAGAGAACATCGGGCGAAGACGAACCTTAACCAAAAAAAATGGACATCGGGCAAAGGTGGACCTAAGATGGAAAGACACCGGGCAAAGGTGAACTTACCAAAGAAAAGAGAACGTCGAGCAAAGACGAACCTTAACCAATGAAAAGGGACACCAGGCGAAGGTGAACCTCAGATGGAAAGACACCTGGCGAAGGTGAACTTACCAAAGGAAGGAGAACGTCGGGTGAAGACGAACCTTAACCAACAAAAAGGGACACCGGGCGAAGGTGGACCTAAGATGGAAAGACACCGGACGAAGGTGAACTTACCAAAGAAAAGAGAACGTCAGGAGAAGACGAACCTTAAAAGGAAGAAAGACCAACCGAAGGAGACTCTAAACAAGGATTGCCAACACGCGTTAGGATTTAAGAGTTTGCAAATATGCAAGAACTACAGAGTCCCTCAGGCTAAAGGCGGGGTGTAATTCTTCAAGAGTGGAAATTATCTGAATCATCACACACCAAGTATGGATACTCAAACACTTGAGAAGCAAGAAAGGCTATACAACGACTCTTACTCACACTCTACTTGTAAAGGAGAACACAAGTAAAATAACCAAAGGCTTGCAAGGACACGAGCAAACCACAAACTTGCTGGGGATTCCCATATGTATTGAACCCAAACAGAATACCATTCGAAGGCGGACTTGTGATTAGAAAAAGAGATCAATTGTAGGGACTCTAAACAAAGATTGCCAACGCGCGTTGGGCTTTAAGAGTTTGTGAATACGCAAGAACTACAAAATACCTCAGGCCAAAGGCGGGGTGTAATTCTTCAAGAGTGGCAATTATCTGAATTACCACACACCAAGTATAGATACTCAAACACTTGAGAATCAAGAAAGGATATACATCGACTCTTACTCGCACTCTAATTGCAAAGGAAAACACGGGTAAAATAACCAAAGGCTTACAAGGGCAAGAGAAAACCATAACTTACTGGGGAAATGGAGAATACCAAAGACCCGACTGGTGGTAAATCAAATGGACTCTGTTGGGGAAACAAAATAGAGTCACCCTAGGCTTGTTGTGGAGATAATTCAAATCTGAGCGGCATTCCCATATAAACCACACTGGGGAGATAGGACACTTGCTCCACTAGGTAAAGAAAAAAAAATATATCTCCACTGGGGAATAATGAATAACTTACACCGATAAGTCCTCAAAATTCGGCTTCAATTGAGGACAAAGACCACCTCTTACACTGGGGAGCCAAAAGACTTAGATGGTAACATCAACAATGTTCATTGCACTGGGTATAGCCATCTCTGCAAGATTCAAACTGGTAAGGATTTTTATACTGGGGAGAAGAAATCATTTCATTACGGATGATAGTCGTCCTCATGAGGATAGAAAACTAGAATCTCCCATAGGCAAACATGATTCTCTCCAAGAACTCTGATATAGGCAATCCACATTGGGGAGAGAGAGTGCATTCCTTACTGAGCAGGAGAATGCATACTTCATGAGGAGAACAAGTGCAAACCTCACTGGGGAAGCCGTATAATGTCGACTTCAAGGGGAGTATATCAAGAATCTCCAGTTAGTGAGTAAAATGGTTCTTCCTAGAAACCTGGAAAGAAACAGATTGCACTGAGAAAGATTGATACTCGGGCGAAAGTACGCCTTTACTAGGGAGTATACTGCAAAAATAAATTGCAGTTCAGGGAAATTTTAAACTCTGATCCAACTTCCAACCTCCTGGGGAACAAATTATTTATCCTCTGTTAGAACAAGGAGAGCTTCGATGGTAATGGAAACTTCTGATGTAAATCTTAATAAAAATGACTTCAACTAGGGGATCACAGAAATTCTTGAATAAAATAATTCTACCCAGGCCATACGTGGAATACCACCATCGAGGGTAATAATCTTCACTTAAAAAAGAGAAGGGCGCCTTTGAACCATAAGCTTTGAGGTTCAGAACTCCGCCGAGGAAATATTCCAGCCATACTCCATCACTGGGGATAAAAGAATTCTAAACAGCATTTGTCCATGCACACTGCTCCATAAAAATAGGAGACTTTCTCCGCTGGGCATAACGAACATGGTAGTCAAACATCTTTTCAAGAAAACCCGACTTGGGAAAAACTTCCCTGAGGAGAAAAGATATGAACTTCATAGAGACGATGAATGA